GTAGAAGAATTTCCAGAAGGAAGGAGAAGTCTAACAACAAGAATGTTCAGTGTTACTATTTCAAGAACTTTGGTCACTATGCCAAAGATTACTGGTCAAACAAAGAAAGAAATTCAATATAGCCAGAGGAGAGTCAGATGATGAACCTGTGCTATTGTTGGCTTTTGAACCTGATGATCTAAATTCATCAGAATGGTGGTATATGGACACAAGGTGTTCAAACCATCTTACTGGAAACAAGAAATGGTTGGTTGATTTTGACTCTGGGAAGAGTACAAAGATCAGATGTGTTGATGATAAATACCTCAATGCAGAAGGTATGAGAAATGTCAGAATCATTCTAAACAATGGTAAATTAGTAGTGATCCAGAATGTATGGTATGTACCTGGCATGAAAAGCAATCTGATGAGTGTGGGACAACTGATTGAGAAAGGTTTTTCAGTTACCATGAAGGACAATCTTCTGAAGCTGTATGACTGTAATCAGAAGCTGATTATGGAGTCAGAACAGGGAAGGAACATAACATTCAAGGTGAATGTTAGAACTTCAGACTCTGAATTTCTTAGTGCAATAAGTGTTGTCAAGGAGAGTGAGTTGTGGCACAGAAGATTTGGTCATCTGAATTTCAGAAGTTTAGGGCATCTGAAATCAAAGAATATGGTACATGGAATTCCTACAATCAAGAAGCCTAAAAAAGCATTCAAGGTGTGCATGGAAGGGAAACAACCAAGATTACCATTTGCATCAGATGTAGCTTCAAGAGCAAAACATGCCTTGGGAGTAGTGAATTCTGATGTGTGCGATCCTTTTCCAGTAGCATTAATTGGAGGGAATAAATATTTTGTGTCATTTGTTGATGATTTCACCAAAATGACATGGGTATCTCTCATAAAGTTTAAATACGAGGTGTTTACTGAATTCAAGAAGTTCAGACTGAAGGTTGAGAATCAGAGTGGCCAGACTCTGAAGATTCTTAGAACTGATGGTGGTGGTGAATATAACTCCATAGAATTTAGAAGATTCTGTGAGGAGAATGTAATTGAGCATGAGGTTACTGCTCTCTATACTCCTCAACACAATGGTCTTGCTGAAAGAAGAAACTGTACTTTCTTGATATGGTGAGAAGCATGCTGAAAGAGAAGAAGCTTCCTCATACTCTGTGGGGAGAAGCTATTGCAACTGCATGTTATGTGCTCAACAGATGTCCAAAAAAGAAATTGAAGGAGATAGTTGCTATTCAGAAGTGGACTGGAGATAAGCAAAGTGTTAGTCATCTGAAGGTGTTTGGTTCTGTATGTTACAAACATGTCCCAGAAGCCAGAAGATAGAAGTTGGATGATAGAAGTAAAGTGATGTTGCTAGTGGGGTACCACAGTACAGGTTCGTACAAACTTTATTGTCCAGAAACTAACAAAGTTGAGTTTAGCAGAGACGCCATTGTAAAGGAATCAAAAGTTTGGAATTGGGAAAGGTATCGTCCTGACTCTGATGAGAGAACCCCTGAAGAAAAGTCATAAACACATGTTTTTGAAGTTGGTAAAGACTCTGACTCTGAGGAAGATATAGAAGGAGAAGATGATTCTGACTTTGACTCTGATGGTGATCCAAACTCTGAAGACAATCAAGGTTCTGGAGAAAGTCCAATTTCTGAAGCAAGTGCTTTTGAAGGGGAAAGTTCTGGTGTCCAAAGTTCTGAAGGTCTAGTTCAGAGGCAACAAAGAGTCAGAAGCATCCCAAGAAGATTTGCAGAGTTTGACATGTTGCAGGACACTGAAGTAGACTTTGAAGGAGAAGTTATTCAGTGTGCAATCTTAGTAGACTATAAACCCATGAGTACGGAAGAGGCTCTTAAGCAGCAAGTTTGGTTACAGGCCATGAAAGAAGAACATGATGCTATAGAGAGAAACAAGACTTGGAAGCTGACAGAACTTCTAAAAGGCAAGAAAGCCATCAGTGTCAGATGGGTTTTCAAGCAGAAGCTAAATCTAGATGGATCAATTGGCAAACATAAAGCAAGATTAGTAGCAAGAGGCTTTCTACAGAAGTTTGAGTTGGATTACTCTGAAGTGTTTGCACCTGTAGCGAGACATGAAACAATCAGACTAGTGATTGCAATAGTTGCTAACAGGAATTGGCCTCTGATGTATTTAGATGTAAAATCTGTATTTCTGAATGGTCCATTACAAGAAGAGGTATACGTATCACAACCTCCTGGATTTGAGAAAAAGAATCAGGAAGGGATGGTGTTCAAATTACACAAAATCCTTGTATGTATTAGAGCAAGCGCCCAGAGCCTGGAATCTGAAGATTGATTCGTTTTTCAAGGAACAAGGGTTTCAGAAGTGTGAGATGGAGTATGGTGTTTATGTTCAGAACACTTCAGAAGGTAATATGATTCTGGTTTATTTGTATGTTGATGACATATTACTCACAGGAAGTTCTGAACAAGAGATAGCTGAGTTCAAGAAAGTTCTGATGAATGCGTTTGAGATGACAGATCTTGGAAAAATGAGTTTCTTTCTAGGGATGGAACTTATGTACTCTGAGAAAGGAATCATTTTGCATCAGATGAAGTATGAACTAGAGCTTCTGAAGAGATTTGAGCTAGAAAATTGCAAAGTTGCTATCACACCTGCTGATACGAATTAGAAGTTGGACTCTGATTCTGATGGAGAGGATGTGTATGCTACAACCTTCAAACAGTTGGTTGGTTCTATGAGGTATTTGTGTAATACCATACCCGATATTTGCTATGCAATTGGAATGGTTAGCAAATTTATGAGTAAACCAAAGTGGTCTCATTACCAAGCTGCTGTTAGGATTCTGAGGTATGCAAAGGAAACTCTGAAGTATGGAGTGTTATTTCCGTCTGGAAGAAAGATCGAATAAGAACTTCTAAGTTATTCAGACTCTGATTGGTGCGGAGATAGAGTGGATAAAAGAAGTACTTCTGGGTACTTATTCAAATTTCTGAGAAGTCCTATTTCTTGGTGTTCGAAGAAGTAACATGTTGTTGTGCTGTCAACCTGTGAAGCTGAATATATTGCAGGCGCTCTGACTGCATGTCAAGTTGTGTGGATTCTGAACTTGTTGCAAGATCTGAAGATTGAAGTAGCCAAACCTCTGAAGCTGATGATTGATAACAAGTCTGCAATCAATCTTGCCAAGAACCTAGTGCTGCATGGGAGAAGCAAGCATATTGAGACCAAATATCATTTTCCGAGGAATCAAGTTCAGAGTAAAATATTAGAAGTTGTACACTGTAGCACCCAGAAGCAGCTGACAGATGTTCTAACAAAGGCTATTAAGGCTGATCAATTTCTTCGCTTGAGAGATGGAATTGCTGTTGTCAGTTTTGGATAAAATATAAATTAAGGGATGATATTAGATTTAATCTATATTTTAGGAATATCTTTTGGGTATTAATCTATATTTTAGGAATATTTTTTAGAAGATATTATTATATCTTTTTATATCTTTGTTAGAGGATATTTAGGATTTTATTTTGTGTATAAATAGCCTAGTGAGATAGCTCAATGTAATTCATTGTAAATCATTATTCCTTATTTTTATAGCTGTCATTTAATATATTCTTTTTACATTTCATCTCTTCTTTGTACACCAAGAAAAATTTGTAATGCCACATCAAATGACTTTTACCATTCATTTGATATTCTATATATAAAGAAAGCTTACCCCTTGAGATGATAAGTAATTGTCTTTCTCCCATCTTTTCTAATACTTCCCCTCCCATAGCCTTGCAATTTTTAACATTTTTGCCGTTAAAACTTGAACTAATTATAACTAATTAAAACTTGAACTATTGATGTGAACTAGGTATATAACATATTATTATGTTAACTAGTTATTTGAGCTTTATTTAGTAAACATTGTTCAAAATTACTTGATTGATAAAACTCACTTTCATTGATTAGTTCTCATGATTTGTTAACTTTACCAGTTTCTAATATTTGAAAATAATTTATAGGAAATTCATTTGATGAGATCATTGTGTTTTCCTTTAATAAAAAAATATGATTGTATACTATACAATTAAATTTATTATTTTATATTCATAAGTGCATTTAAATAAATTATATATAAATTAAAATTGATGGATCTATGCCGAACAGCACGAGTCTTCTACTAATTTGTTATAACTTATAATTTTAAACAATTCTCAAAGAAATTATTCATAAATACTTGTAAGTTGTACTGTCGCATAGTCCTTAGCGAGATAATATAACAATACTTACTTTTGTTTTTGTTAACAATTCTACTACGTAAGGAAAATGACCATGTTGCTAGGGACTGGCGTTTAGATATTACTAATTTACTTGTATTTCTTTTATCATTTTCATATATTTTGTTTATATTTAGGAAAAAATACACTTACCTCTCCTGAGTTTTCGTTAAAATGATACTAACACCACCTCTAATTTTTAAATATATATTGACCTTCCCCCGATGTCTATTAAAAATGACACTGATACTTCATATAATTTTTAGTTAAAAATCATAGGTATAGATGACATTATACCCTCTCTCTCTCTCTCTCACTCTCTCTCTCTCTCATCTCTCTCTCATCTCTCTCTCTCTTCCTCTCTCTCTCCTCTCTCTTCTCCTCTCTCTCTCCTCTCTCTCTCTCTCTCTCTCCTCTCTCTCTCTCTCTCTCTCTCTCTCTCTCCTCTCTCTCTCCTCTCTCTCTCCTCTCCTCTCTCCTCTCTCTCTCCTCTCTCTCTCCTCTCTCTCTCTCTCCTCTCTCTCTCTCTCTCTCTCTCTACTCTCTCTCTCTCTCTCTCTCTCTTAATTTTTAAATAAAATGATTTAAATTAATTTTTTATTTAATTATTAAAATTAAATGATATATTAATTATTTAAATATGTTGTGAAAGACATTTTAAAAGGATCAATGAAACCACTTTCATAAAATGTTATGGAAATAACAACATATGATTATTAAATGTTATTATTGAATATTTTACAACTAAAAAAAAAATTAAAAATTATTAAGAAAAATTGCTATGAGATCTTCATACTCAGAAAAATCTTCAGTAATCTCAGGCAAGACATCACAGTTATTGTTGTCTTCAGCTAATGTTAGATCATTCTTAAAACTAGCTATCAATTTGACTTGGGTTTTAGAACTATTTTCTTTTTCTTCGATCTCATGAGGAGAAAATTCTTTTTCAAGAGAACTGTTTGCTTTGTTCTTGATTTCTAGAGGACAAGAAATACTTTCAACGGTTGGATTGTTCACTTTGTCCTCAATCATAAAAGGCCGAAAATTATTTTCAACTACTTGATTGTTGTTTTGGTCTTCAAGAGTCTCTTTAAGATAAGTTGAAGAGCTAATTGCCATATTATTCTCCTTTTCAACTTGTTTTTCTTTTGGGATCTAAAAGTAATAAACAATAACAAAATATTTAGTTAAAAATTATATAAAAACAAATTATGTAGTAAATAATCCTTAAATATAAGTTTGATGCATCACCCTCTTTTTATAGTTTCTCTTCTTTTTAGGTACATAAGCACTAGGAAGATGCAAATCACCACTCTTAACCTCAGTTTTAGCATTATTATCCATATCCTCAACTTCACTGTCCTACAATTATTAGAATAAGTGAAAGTAAGAATTTTTAAAGAAAATTATAGATATATTTTTTTAATATATAATTTATAAGCAATGCAACATAAATATAATGTTTTTATTTACCACCTTTATCTTTCTTTTCCTTTTCTCTAACTTGGCATATTCTTTAGGAAGTAAACGATTTACAACTTCTGTAACTGATCTTAGTTTTTGCCCACCAGTTACAATGTCATGTGTATAGAACTTCAAAAACCAAAATAAAAATAAATAATTAATATTATATTCATTGATAAATATATATATGAAATTTAGAGAACAAAAGATAAAAATTTAAATCAACAAGAATTTACAAAAAAAAAATTACCGTATCACACATTCCTGAATTCCTTTTTCGACATTCAACATCCCAACACTTAAGATTAGACAACATATTGTCTATACCAGAGAAACATGTTACATCAAAATGTGTAGGAAATGAAAAGGAAAAGCTTTCCTTTTTCAATAATATTGTTGTCAACTTCTTCTTATATCTAGTTGATTCCTATAAAACAAGACCATCATATTCAAAGAAATAAATAAATAATTTTTTTGGATAGTCAATAGTATTCATAACTATTTCAGAAAAAAATTGAAATTGTTTTCAGTTAAGCCTATTGATTATAGAAGAAAAGATATTAAATTTTCAGTGTTTAGTTTCTGTCTTCATGCTTCAACTGTTCTACACAATAAAAAATAATATATTTTAGCAAATAATTACAAGTAAATATGTACATGAATCGATGTAGTTTCTGCGTTTGTTCTGATCATTTCACGACACATAGATCTAAAACCTTGTACTTTATTCTGTGACAAGGAATAAGATAGATAAAAAGGATTAGCTATAGAAACTCTTGAATACTGCTAATAGAACAATGAATTATAAATGAAAGAAAAAGTAAGACTTACATTGATATTGTCCCTAAGAAGATGGGCCAATTCTTGGCCATAAACAACATTTCCTTGATTTTTATTATTCATTCTTTGAATTGAGAAATGAGATAGAATGTTTTTGTAAATAATATGAAACTTTTCTCCTCAAAACAATTTTTTTATTACTTGGTTATGATAATAATTTTGTAACTCTTTATATAGAAAATTAGAGACTAAGGATTTAAAAGATAGAAAATATAAAATATAAAAAAATATGACACAAATATTTAAAATATTAATAAATAAATAAAAAATATTAATAAATAAAAATATCAGTCAAAACAAAAGGATTAAATTATCGATTTTAAATTACTATTCTATATATCTAAATATATATATATTTTGACTATTGTGGGAAAATTACAAAAAAAAAGGTAAGGATATTCTATTTTTGCCTAAGAAAATTAATTTCCAAATTATTTCCATTTATCATCTGTCACATGATTTATACTACTGTCCAAAATTTCTTAAACTTGCTTACTGTTGTTTTGCGTCCAAACTGCAAGAAAAATACATCTTCTAAAAAATGTCTGTGAAAAAAATGATTATTAGTGATATTTTATCAATAATAATTGATAATTTTAATCCCAATTATATACAAAAAAAAAAAGAAAGTAATCCCTCCCTTTTGATGTTTTAGAAATTTTCTATTTGGATATTATTTATTTATCACATTTATGATGAGTTCACGAGTTTTGGAGTATATTTTCTTATGGTTTGAACATTATGAAATCTCATTTTTTGTTATGGTTTATGGTTTCGATATTCCTTTTGCATTCACCTTACTATTGACTTTTATACTACTCATCACTTCATTATGATTTTGCTTCATGGTTGGTCTCTTTGGGAAGGTATGTTCTCAACCTTCATTAGATGTCACATTTTTTTTATAAATCAGAAAGTTTATTAATATCAAACACACCAATACAAAAGACTACAGTATAGTTATAAAGACTTAAACCAAAATGTATCTAATTGGCTCACATTTTTTGGCCAAACACAGAAGATTCTATTTTTAATATTCACTGGAATTCTATCTACAGTTTTCATGACAGTATCTGTTTTTTGATTCCAAAGCACATCATTTCTCGTATGCCACACTTGATACACAATAGCGGCCATGCTAGCCGAGTAGACACTTTTCTTGAACTTGAAAATCTTAGCATACTTAATCCATTTCAAAGTATTAGTAAGACTGTTAACCTTCATACCATAATTTAACCATTGCTTGATTAAATTCCAGATTCTTCTTCTATAGACACAGTTGGAAAATAAACGGGCACTCGATTCTCCTGGCTCCTCATAAATTAGGCAGTTAAAATCTTGCACCAATTCTTTTAACTTTTTATAGCTCTGCTGTTGCGGTAGAGCGGTAAGTAAAAAGTAAGTTATTAATTTATTTGGTGATATTTATGTTATATCGTATTGTATCCACAGAGATTGGTTATTGATTCACCGTTCGACAAATTCTCGCGTTTGTGAGTTTGGGGATAAAATGGTTTTGTTTGTAAGGTGCCGGAATTAAAAGTTATAAACATAAAAAGAATTTCATTCTTTGAATATTAAGGAACGTGTACAAAACTTTAACAAAAATCATTACCACGCATTCGCAAGTTGAAACACTCAAACTTGGAAAATCACCAAAAAACGACTTCAAGCTATCGAATCAAAATTGAATCCAAACAAAAACAACATAATTAATTATACTAAAAATATTACTACTACAAAGCCTAGGTGTAAGTGGGAAAAAGAAAAGGCAAGCAAAAACTAAAAGGAAATTATTTGCTCTGCATAGCAGAGCACGCTAAACGGCCTGGAGCGTGCTACACCAGATGTAAAAAAAAAACAGCAGCATCCGGTGCAGCTGCTATGCAACTCGAGCATCACCTACACACTCTATGTACAACAATTACAATATGCACAACATTAATAAATATACTTCCACAAGTTAAACACGACAAACTTGCGGAAACACATAATTTTACATAACGAAACAAAAGGAAAAAAATTGAATTAACAAGTTGAAAAGTGAAAATTTGAAATTTAAAAACTTAATCCGAGTTTAGCTTGTTAAAACACAAACCAACACATAACAAAAATAAATACAAACAAACATGCTTGTTTTACGTCGTAAGCTCAACGCCTTTTTGTGTGAGCGAGTAACCTCCTATCATCATGCCATGAAATTGTCACACCGTGCAAACCTAAAGAAAGTATCCTAACATCACACAATAAACATTACGAAAACGAGACAATTCACAACAATCCGTGAAAACAAAGAAAAAACACATATATGCACAAGTATGTAAAACATGTAAAATTCACAAATATGATAACCATATAAAAATTCATGTATAATTTCTATACAACATATACATTAATTACAAAACTCAAAAAATAAAAGAATTACCGCGATGTGAAACAATAGAACCAATCCCCGACAACGACACCATTTTGCTGTTGCGGTAGAGTGGCAAGAAAAAAGTAAGTTATTAATTTATCGAGTGATATTTATGTTATATCGTATCGTGTCCACAGAGATTGGTTATTGATTCACCGCTCGATAAATTCTCGTGTTTGTGAGTTTGGGGATAAAATGAGTTTGTTTGTAAGGTGCGGGAATTAAAAGTTATAAACTTAAAAAGAATTTTATTCTTCGAATATTAAGGAACTCTCGGGTTTGTATTTCGTCTACCCTATCAAATACTTAAATTTACTACCCAGTTGCACTTAACCTTAACTATTCATCAATATCGTCGCGTATCACTCACACAGAGGTCATCTCTAACACATAGTGAGATATCAACCGAATCGTTCTATGTCGACGATCTCTCAACACAACACAAACAACACAGAGGCATTAAGAGTCGATACCTAAGTGATTACTAAGCCTAAATCTATCTCTAGAATCCAAGCCTAATAGATATTCATCCTAAGTCTGGATTCAATCCGTCCATCACTGCAACATCTCAAACCCAAACCCTTTGCAAGCTAAAAAGGATAAACATCAATAAAGATTTATAAAGAAAGTTTCATACAACAACATGAGCAATAAATATGCATATAATCAAGGTAAAGTTAGATGCAAAATCCGACAAATAGTAGTTACAAAGAGAAGAAGATAAGAGAAAGCCCAATTTCCCGCAGTGTCAAACACGATCCCTCAAACTTCCGACCCCGGATCATCCGATTGCAAGCCATAAATGTTGTTTTCTAAGCTCTAAATATCAAAGAATGAAGGTGATGGAGTTTGGGAACAAATACCCCAAAACCATAGCCTAACAATATTTTTCCCCTTTTAACGTAATTTTGTCCAGGTGTTTACAGTTATTTCTGGTAAACAACCGCTCGTCCTCCAAACTATCGAATAATCTTAATGACTGTTATTCAATCTCTCTGGTAACTCGCAGGATCGACTAGATTGATCCTAGGATGTATTGATCATTTGGATAACTCTCATTATAGAACTGGTATTCATGGTTGGTATTTAGAATGTTGTGTAGGTGTTTAACTTACTTCGATTACTCTATTAAAGATCTAAAGGCGTGATCAAGTAAATGCACGCGAAACTAAATTGCATGAATAAAATTCAATTGTAAAGACATGTAAAACTGTAGAAAAGACAAGTAAATGACTTCGAAGCATAAAAACATGTAATGTAAAAGATTCTCTGGAATGTAAAAGATTCAAAATATGAAGAAAAACGTTTAAATGCAAGAAAACAGTAAAATAACTTTAAATGAAAAAAGGTGTTCGAATGATAAAGGCATGAAGATAAAGGCATGAAATATACAAAAGTTTCTGAAATGTAAAGTATTTTAAATGGAAAGAAAAACATTTAAATGTAAGGCATCAGTAAAAAGACTTCGAATGAAAATATTTTAATGCAAAGGCTTTTGAATGGTATTGACATGAAGATAGAGGAAAATACTGGAAATGATAAAGAGTTTTATTAAATCATAAACACTTGGTGTCATCATACGTACATTGCTCGTGCATTCGTTTCCCTAGCCATGTGGTATTTTGAATGTTTACTGAGTTTTTTGTACAATAGATATGACACACGAAATCCTAATGCTAAGACTTCTATTTATACTACTTCGACCATAATGGTCTTGCTATAAGATTCTGCCACGTTCAGAACATGCAAAGCAATGCCTCTCTCTAGCTTCCACGCGTCTTCGAATGCTCCAGCGCATATATTTTAAATTTCGAACATCCCGCTTGCATTTGAATTTCAAATGTTTTGGCACTTCTTCGCTTCGAACGCATTTCTTGGACACAGCCTTGTTACTGTTAGAACAATGTTTGAATCTACTACCCTATATTTAAGTTTTGATGATAACAAAGTGAAAAGATATAGTATTTATAAGTTTCATGAATGAACTATCTGCTGCCTAAAATTATTATGTTCTGACTTGCAGATACTCTGATTGAAATAAGCAAGATCACGTTTATTCAGCATCAGAATTTGATGTCATACATCAGCATCAGAAGTTGCTACATCAGAACGTCAAGATCAGATGATCAACTCGCGTACATGCTGAAGCTTGATGAACAAGACTGCGCTCAAACACTCTGATACAGAAACACAATAGTTCATCAGCAGCGAAGCAGAATCAGAATGAGCCAAGCCAGAACGTGCATTGAAGAAGCAACGGTACTGTGCATTGAACGCTAATTAATTCCAACGGCCTCATTCCAGACAAGATCTGCTCAAAAAGGAAAGCTTGTTATTAGCATTGAATCAAGAATATTGCATTCAACGTTCATCTTCTCAAGTGCTATATAAACAAGGCTTTGAAGATTATAATGGCTAATGCTCTCAAAATCTCTACACGCACAAAGCTGAACCATAATCTTCGTTCTATCAGTTTTGCTAAACCACATACTCTGATATTCCATTATTGTTTAGCAATCTAGTTTCTAAGCTTCAATTTGTGTATACATCACAGTTGTGATAAAGTTTTGTAGAAAACATCCACACACATTATTTTATCTCTTTGTAAAAAGGTGTTACCTTGACAAACCGGGTTGTGGTTTGAATC